AGTACTCATCTTACCTTTTCTCTGCCTTTGTGTCCGTCTGCCTCTGTGACTCACTCTTCTGTTCCCCACCCCTCTCTACTTTTTTCACTTTGATGTGCTTTCCCCTCTGTGAAACCTGAAGTCAACTAGAGGGTTAATGATAACTATCATAAAGCCTCCCATTTGATATAAATAAATTGTTTCTAAATTTACTAGTTTCAAAGCCACAAAAATGGAAGTGGGTAAGTGCATAAGTACATTAGGAACAAGTGCCAGCACTAAGTATAGCGAGTCGGGATTGCAAAGTATGCTAAGATAATTAACTGATTTTGCCTTTTAGTCTACAAGTGATTATAATAAGAAATGCTTCATAATCCATCGAAAAAATTAATAATCTAGAGTAATGAATAAGTCATCTTTGTGAAATATATATTTAGTAGAGAACACAGAAGCATTTTTTAAAAATCCCGATTAATCTAGTTTTATGAAAACGACAGGTTTTCTGAATGCAGCCATAACTTCTTCCAAATCCGCGAGTTTTCTTTCGAGATCAGCCCTTAGCTTCTGTGCTCGAGAAGTGTCCGCGCTGAGTGGAACCTGATTGAATTCTTTTATTGTTTTGGTGTATACTATTGAAATAGAAACAAATTAACATCCTAAGAATTAATGCTTATTACTTTTTTTAATTAAAAAGCGGAGTAGCCTTGAGTGAGCTAGTATCGTGCTGTGCTATTTCAAAATACGTTGCTACTTAAAATGAGGGCAGATGAAGCGTGTTTGGGAGGTTTAATCTAGTCCTTCACTCTACATTTTTACCAACTATATTTTTTTGTTTTTTAAATAAATTCTCTCCTCAGTTCAGTAACAATAAAAGAAAACACATAATAGACTTTAGCCTATTCGTGGGGAAATTGTTGCAAGTGGTTTGGCTGAACAAGATAATACGGACTACCCTACATGAAGAAAAGGTCTGTCAACATAATTAAACAGTAGTGGTAAATCCGACCACCCTAAACAATCACCAGACCAATGAACTTTGGGCAAAATATGCCCGGTAAACGAGAACAAGGCTGTGAACTTCCGAAAACGAAGTCTGATAATAGCCGTCAATTAAACAGTCTGAATTTGAAAGTCTTGTACAATCCTTTAAATTTCAACCCCCTCTCGATTTTTTGCCGTATAATGCACCTTTAAATCATAAGTTTAAAGTAAAATCATTATTAACATTACATAATTATGGCGCGCTTTGTGCAGGTATTGACTTCAATAATAATAGAATCTTAAATTACAAAAGGATAATTTTTATTAAGGAAAAAGATTTTCGGGCGAGGCAAGGTTCTTTAGGCGGCCAAATTTGCATATAACCGCCCTTTGTACTCTAATTCTCATCATAATTTCATGCGTATTGAGTGAAACTAGTGAGCTCTACTAAGTTAAAAGCTTGCTTTCTTAAACATTAGAAAAATAAACCTCTTGGACTTAAGGTAGCCAAACCTAGTGTTGACAATACCACCACCCAGGCTTTCAAGCTTAATGGATTAAGATTAAGTTCACATTCTTAAATCAGACGACTTGAAACTGAAATGTAAAATAGGAGGCCCTAAAAATGTAGATAAATTGGAAGAATTTGCTCCTGAAAGCCAAAATAAAAAAAATTCTGACTACCTTATCGACAAAACTAAGCCCCATTACTCAATGGACCTCAAAAGCTCAAAGAAAAGAGTTCCAACGACAAAGAAGCCCTAATTTCAATAGGTTTTTTGGAAGCTATGTGTCACCTGTAAATATTAGCTTTAGTTCGAAACGACCAAATAAGGTCAAGTTAGTGTGTGAAATTCCGCCTTTTCAGAGTTAGTGAGGTCGAATCTCATAGGTGCAAATCACTGATGTGATAAAAAATTGCACCGACTAATTTTGGTAAACAGGGGTGTGCGATAGACTTACCACCAGGTGGTGCACCCTGGGCAACGTATAATCATACGGCAAAAAAGTCTATTAACTTATGACTTCAAACTACCATCACCCATCTGTAATGCTTGTTTGAGCACTTTCACAGTACTCAGCTCACCTTTTTTCTACCTTTGTGTCTGTCTGTCCCTTTTACGTCGCACCTTTTTTCTACCTTTGTGTCTGTCCCTTTTACGTCTGCGAAATATTATTCTGTCCCCCCTCTCGACTTTTTGTCACTTTGATGCTGTCCCCCCTCTCGACTTTTTGCCACTTTGGTGTTCCTGCTCTCGACTTTTTGCCACTTTGGTGTTCCTCTTCCTTTCTCTGAAGCCTGAAGTCAACTAAAGGGCTAATGATAAATATCAGGACTTTTTACCACTTGGATGTTTATCTTCCTTTCTGTGAACTTTTTGCCACTTTGGTGTTCCTCTTCCTTTTTGTGAAGCAGGGCGCCGGAACTAAAGGGCTAATGATACCTATCATAACGCCTGCCATTTGAAATAAATAAATTCTGGTAAACAGGACGGTTGGTAGAATGTGAGGCTCTCATGAGAGCGGCTTCACGAAGTTCTCCTTCTGCTCAAATCAAGCGATATCAGATAATGCTTAATTACTAAAAAACCATTGGCTACATAATTATTGTTGTCGTAGGCAAGACAACGCCTCTTACCTGTCTGCTCATTCTCTCTAGTACGAAACGTTGAATAACATGGAATAATTAGACTTCAACTTATTGATTAATGTAACGCCAATGAGATTATTGCAATGCCAACTATTTTCGATAAGTACGATATCAAAATCATTCTCGGTCATAAATGGCAAGTTTAATGTCATCAATTAACTAACATTAGCACAGAGCATCTAAAGATCCAAGGCTGTTCAATCTAACAGCTGTTAATCCAACTTACTAAAGAAGTTAGAATGGTAATACCTACAATGTACCAAAGTCATAGCTTTTTTTAAATAGTAAGTCAATTAATTGCGGTTAAATATAGTTATTTTTTATTTTCCTGCATCCTAAGCCTTATCCATTTAACCATTATATCAGTAATGCACATCATATGTACTGGTGCTCGTTCACATTCCTATTGTGCCCCCCCCCCCATTCATCTTCAATCGTGCTGATTGTGTCTTTATTTCATTCCCGTGTGTTGCCTTATCAATAGACGGGGTGTGCGATAGACTTACCTCCACCTGGTGCACCCTGGGCAATGTATACTCATACAGCAAAAAAAGTCTATAATCCGGCAGTTGACTACAAACTACCATGACCCCACTGCATGTCATATTCGAGCACTTTCGCAGTACTCACCTTACCCTTTTCTCTACTTTTATGTCTGTCTCCTTTACATCTATGAACCACTCTTCTCTTTCCCCTTATCCACTTTTTGTCACTTTGATGTTCCTCTTCCTCTCTGTGAAGCATGAAGTCAGCTAGAGGGCTAATAATAACTATCAAAAAGCTCGCCATTCGATATAAATAAATATGGTTCAAGAAAAGAAATTTGTGTCCTATTAGTAGAAGTTGGTAGAGAGACATCGCAAATTCAAATTTGAAATTGGCAAATCATAAATTGATCAATTAATATGGATAAGTAACGTATAAGGGGATTACCTTCTTCCAAGGAATGTAGCGTATCTATGCGTTCTTCTTCGGACACCCGTGTGTGGCCATCCGGTGTCCGTTCTCTTCCTGCTGCTGCTCTCTCTGCAGCTATTCTGGCCGCCTCCTCTTTCTTACGTCGAATTAAGCTTAAAACAAATAAATTCTTTTGTTTTTACTCGCGAAAAGTGGTCCTTCCCCCCTCCCCCTTATTAACTTCTACCTGTCCCTCTATGCGTATAAAGAGAGAACGGGTTTCAAGAGATTAGATTACAAATGGTAGGGAAGACACTTTAACGAGAAAAGCTGAATGCAAGTCTGTCTGAAATGGAATGAAACCTCCCTGCTTAACACTTTACACTTAACTTATACCTTCGCTCCCTCTCCTGACTGAAATTTAGCAATTTGCTTTGACTGAAAGAACTTAACATTTTATAACACCGCGGAACAAAACAAAGTGGTGAGTTTCTAATTGTCAAGACTTGGCAGTACTTCATGCACCAATGGAGTAAGGTATATTCATCTAATCTACCATCTTCTCACCTTGCGTGGATAGGGATGTCAAATTAGCAGCGTAATAAGTTATTTTGGATGTTAAACTTAAGTTAAAGGACTATGATCATCATGCAGTATCCAAGTCAACCTTAAGATACGTCGTTGAACCGAATTAAATTTAAGACATTAGTAAAGAAATTTAAGCATCCAAATTCCGCAACTTAACAATGTGACCTGTTCTCTGGTTCTTCTATGCCTGTACGCATAGTTCCAAATTATCACTGTTTTGAAAACTTCGATTTACCCTAGCATATCTCTTCCGCCCTAAACCCCACTAAGCACCCAAACCCATATTGGCTGTCTATGGTGAAAATCTATTGGATACGACTGCTAATATCGACGTTATAAGGAAGCAAACAAACACTAAATATTCCCATCGAATAAATGAATATTATGCTGAATAAAACGATATTGTTATCTTTTATTTCGTGACCTAAACATTTAATTCAATCGAACTAACGATGAAAACTATAATCGGAAATAACTTTATTAAATTTAAAAACCTTGACTAGAAAGTAATTCGGGACGTAAATCATATTGGCTTACTATGGCGGAAGTTTTCCTAGTTTCTGTTGATCAGAGAAAAAAGACTGTCTGAACTTATTGTCCATCGATCTTCTGTCAGTAATATTGCCTGCAGAATCAGCACTATAACTGGTCTGAGTACGAACTCCAATCTGTTAAGGACAACTATTTAGAAGCACAACATTTACTAGAGTAGAATTTATCAACAAATAAACTTACTTCTTTAGAGACAACTAATGGAAGAGAACTATTTACATCTTCTTGAAATAAAGACCGTTTCTGTTGGATATTTCTTCCTGTGGATAACTAATATTTTGAGAACAAAAATTACATGTGCTCTCGCAAAAGAACTCAAAAGCACCAATGAATTTGAGCAAAAGATTATACTTAAAACGAGTTCAAATTGAATTACGTCTTTTAAGCTTACACCAACTCGCATCCGATTTCTTTCAATATTATCAAAGTATCTTTCCACATTGTGTCGAATGGGAAACATGTTTCCATTCGATTTGGACTGTAAATTCGCTTTAATTTGAGAAGGGTAGCGCAAATTCTCTATGTTTTCCCGAATGAAATTTCGATTGGCTAAAGCTATTAATGCGAAAAATTGAATGTACAAGATGAACTTCGGAGACCATATCGATGGCGTTGAATGGATTTTTCAGAGTTGGGAAGAGAGTAATTCTGCCACTCTAGAGTATCCATTATGCCGATCTACGAGACAGGGTTTAAAATCATTCAGTTAGCTAAATCAATTGGTCTATTTTGGAAAACATTTAAGAAAACATATAAAAAGATTTGATTATTGATATAAGTAATAAACCAAGCGTTTGTTGGGATTTCGAAAATGTAAATGTTATGTGAAAGTACAAACAAATAAGTGTCTTAATTAATTTAAAGGAGGCATTAGAAATTATATAGATTTTTCTAGCAAGTTCATTAATTTCATTTTCACAAAAGCAGTAAATTTACAAGCATTCTCAGTATTCTTTTCTGCTTTAACTACTTAGAATTTGTTGGTTTTTCTACCAATCTCTACCAATGTTTAGAAACTGTACAAGGTACAATTCATATTATTTAGGAAAATTTGAGTTTATGAATTATCAACGATAATATTACGATAGTTTCCATCTGCATAGACATATACAAGTAGTTATTTTACATTATTTGGTAGATCATTTATACCTCCGTTGTATTACAAATTTTTAATTATTGAAGTATTATTTTGCAAAAAAATACATTCTGAGAATTATTGGCATATAATTAAGTCGGTTTCACGTACAAAATAAACATTCGGTCTAAATAAGGCTTTAGATTTCAGGCAGTTGTAGTATTATAACTCCTAGGAAATGTAAAATTTTTAGTCGATTTCTATTTTAAATAATAAAGAAATCGCCTTTATATTCATTTGTGCTGATTTCTATACAATTAATGGAAATTCAAATTAGTTGTATTATGAATTTCAAAATCCTTTTATTTCTATCGTTGTCACCAATTAAGTAATCTATGGTTGAAATTTTAATAGTGTCGTGATGAACCAAATAACTTTTAAATTAGCACTCAATTCCTTCAGAGTCAAGCTTTAGCAATTATTATCTCTAAAATTAAGAAAGCCATTAACAAACCAATGAAAAGTATAGAGATTCGCCGTGATGTGGCGTAGTACAAATATGGACTAATGGCAAATTTCTAAGTCTCTAAGTATTATCCACAATTGCACTCTCAGCTACGCACTATCAATTTTCGGAGTACTTTGGTGCGATAGAATTCGGTGAATCGCTTCTTCAAGAATTTCTAGCCACTAGAGGATTCCCATAATAAGCCTTAGTAGGGTTAATCATTTTAAATGTCCCATATCTAATATGCATTCCATGTTATAATTTGATAAGAAAAATATTGAATTGTAAAATAGAACGCATAAACAATAATTACGTTAAAGTTTATTAGACTATAAGATAGGCAAATTATTTTTTATTAAAGATTTACATTTAAGAACATAAAATTCGTTTTTAAGCATTAAATAATAAAGAGATTCTGCCATTTTTTTATGAAAAATATTTCCGTACTTATTAGTATATGAAAAATAAACTAGTAGAGTACTGAAGAGCATGGCCTTGACGCAATTTCCTTACCATCTCTTGTTGAACTTATGGGTTTTTAACTTTTTATTTCTACTTTCTTCATGAAAACGCTGGAATATTTAATACCAGATGTTATAAATACCTTCCATAGCCAGCCAATAATATTTTAAATTTCTAGGTCATTGACTTTAGGTTTTATCATTATAGCTCTGACAGCATAATTTTGCTCATAGTTTGTGAATATTTTGTTTGTTATTAGTTGGTTGTGTTGCTATTACTTTTTTAATACATCGTAATATTTTAGACGACTAATTTCTATTCCAATGCCGGATTTTAATTGGTCTGCTCTCATTCCCATTGTTTTTACAATTATGGCCGGCCTCTTCAGTCTATTTGCTTACTTTTATTTTAATAAACGAAAACAAGGCCCTCAAGTGACTTTATCTACCACTGTAGAGGTAGACAAAGAGAAAACCACAAATAAGAAAGGTCTAAAGTCTCGGGTAGGGAAGAAACTCAATAGTAAGTTCTGATTTTGCTCTCACTACCAAATACATACATCTTCTATTGAAACTTTTCTCATAATGCTGCTGGTATATCATAATTCTGTTTTAGTATTGGTATTCTATGTTGAATTTGTTGTGGACCATTTTGGATGTTTCTGTGTAGTGCCTCAGTCTTACTTAATTTTGCCGCGTAAGATCGATTTAGATGTGGTAATTATTGTTTATATAGCGAAAAACATATGCCTTCGGCTGTAATAATCATTGTTTACGTCAGGGCCCATGTGGTCGTGCACTAAGTATATTTAGAGGTCACTAGATGGTCTTTTGAGGACAGAATGTTGGACTTCATTGCCTAATTCTGGTCAACAAATTACCAAGGAAACCCGTATCAATCTTTTAATTTGCCTGAAATTGTATTATAATAGCAATGATTAACATTTTTTCTGAATTTATTTATGAAGCTGGAGGACTAGCCGCTCAAGTGAAGCAGCGAGTTGAGAAAATGGAGCTCTCCAAGTTGACCTCTTTTGAACGTGAAAATGAAATGCGCGTTCGTGCGAACCAATTAGAGACCATTTTATCCCTTATGCGAGCCAATCCTCAGAAGTTTGGTAGTGTTTCTTCCGAAGATCTAACCAATCAGCTTTCGACCTTCTACACTACTGCTACTCCAATCTCTTTTCCTGATTCTTGATCTCCTTGGGATTTTTACCTTTATCATTTCCTCCTCCAAAGCAACTGTGTATATTTATTTTAATATGTATGTATAAGATGGATTTGCATAATCTCAATTAATTCACCGTACTATTCGATATAGCATTTAATTTAATTTGTTGTATTTATTCGAATCTCGACTTCATGTTTGTTCTATAGTGATAAATCTGGAATTTTCGTGTGATTAAGTATTTTTATATTCCTTGATTTGCAGGAGAAATTGCGGTTTGGAATTTTTAGACAGCCTGAAAATGCAGGTTTTATCACGTCAGAAATGGAGGTTTAGATATCGAAATTAGTTGGACAAGAATACTGCCTTACTTGAACTATACCAGCGTCAAGTTATCTATGAAAATATAGCTTCTACGTAAATAACATGATTTCGCTTGCGGGTATATTGAGTAGATTGCATTCAAAATATCAACTTTTTATTTCACTAATGAGCCTTTATTTGAGCCAACGGAATTGAGGCATTCTTTTTGAACCTCTTCCCTTAACGCTTACTTCAAGTGGATCATAATAATAGAGCAATAAAGGCCATATTCAATCAATTCATTAAGTTTTTTCCCATCCTCAACATTTGTCAGCACCTACATAATCGATAGGAATAAATAATTGGGATATTTTCTGTAAATTTCCTTTCTGCGCATGTTGTTTGACTAATTACGTTAATATTTAATAGATTTTGCAAATACAAAAAAGTGGATTTCGGTTTGTTTATCGAACTAGTCAATCATAACACATGTAGGCAAGCTTATTGGAAATATGATTGGCAATTCATTTATTGAGACAAGTTTAACCAGGAATAAACTGGCATTGTGAATGCGCTTGTCATTCGTTATAGCATGATTGTAATATGATGAGTTCAAAATAGAAATTATTCAAAGAACTGATGAGAAATTGTCGATGACAAAAAAAAGAATTTCAAAGTGAAGGAAAGGTAATCATAAAGTCCCGCTGACAAATCTGTTTATATCATTTTAGTAAATTTATATTTTCAGTAAAATTGTTAAATAAACGCACTTGCTAATGAGTTACTACTACTCCAAGCTCCCAAAAGAATCACCAAAAAAATATTCAAAATGGATGCTTATAAATACAGCGAATTACTACACGAATTAGCCCTAACTAAAGCTCTACAACCTCCTTCCCAAAGTCATCCCGGTATGAAATAGCCCAGAAATTACATAAGTTAACTCAACAATATCTAGGACACCGAGAGTATGACGGGGAATACGTTTATTTTGTGTGTGTGTGTGTGTGTGTGTGTGTGTGTGTGTGTGTGTGTGTGTGTGTGTGTGTGTGTATGTGGTATGCATGAGGACACTACCTCTCTTGGATTTATTCCATGACCTTTTGATGGCACGAAATCAATGGACGCTACAACGGTGAACTTAAGCCGAAATAAAATTAGTGCTTCCAACTTCATCATCTGTTTCAAAGTTTTGTTGAACAATGGTTCCCTTTAGGATATGTTAGAAAGCCGTATTGTTTGGGTTTTCTCCTTTCGAACTTAGGAACTGTATTATCAAATAACGAATTTTCCCAGTCGTGCTTGGTATGCGTACTCACTATTGGTCAAACAGGTAACCAATTATTTCTTACTTATTTATAACCAATCAATGAATTGTGGCTTTTTAGTGCTGCGCTTAGACGTATAGAAGAATGGGCTTAAAGCGCCCATTTATTTCCTAAACTTGGCGTGTTTTACAATGAATTCTTAAAAGAACATGATATGGGGCGTTAACCCAGAAGATAGAAAAGAGCCTTATTCAACTTAAAATAAGACTTTGGCTATTATAAGCAAATGCTTTGGTTGGGTGTGATTTATTACTCAGACATTCATAAAAGAAACATGTTCTATAATACATCAAATGGCAGGCGTCTTGATGGTTATCATTAGCCCTTTAGTTGACTACAGACTTCATAGAGGAGAAGGAACATCAAATTGAAAAAAGTCGAGAGGGGGGGGGGCAACAGAAGAGTGTTTCAAAGATATAAGAGACAAACACAAAGGTGGAAAAAAGGTAAAGTGAATACCGTGGAAATAGTCGAATATGGCATAGAGTGAGGGGGGTGGTAGTTTGAAGTGAGAAGTCAACTGCCAGTTAA